CACTTTTAAAACATCTTGTGCAGCAGATTTGTTTAATGCAACATGTCGTTGGATTTCTTGACTGCTGTTTCCATTAGTGTTGATGGCTGATCCAAGAAAAATGAAGTCTCTGTCAACTTCAATGTTTTCTCCAGTTACATGGATGTTGCGTATTGGTCCAGTTGTCAGGATATTTCTTTTCTTTACATTGAGATGCAACCCATACTAAACGTTATGGTCTTTAAACTTCATCAGTAATATTTCAGGTCCTCATCACTTTCAACAAACAAGGTTGTATCAACTGCATGTCTCAGGCTGTTAGTGAGTCTTCCTCCAACCCTGATGTTACATTCTTCATATAATGCAGTTTCTTGGATTAGTTGCTCAACGTACAGGTTCCTTGTGAGAATAATTAAGTGTTCCAGAATACTTGTTCTTCACTATGTTGTCCATAGCTTGTCATGAGTCATACAATCCAAAGCCTTTGTAGAGTCAACAAAGCACAGGTAAACATCTTTCTGGTATTCTCTGCTTTCAGCCAAGATCCATCTAACATCAATGCAGTGATATATGTGTCATTCCACGTCCTTGTCTGAATTCAGCTTGAACCTCTGGAAGTTCTCTGTCAGTGTCTGACTCTGATTGCAGCCATTTTTGTATTATCTTAAGGAAGATTTTACTTGCTTAAGACAATACAAAATGTGTTATTAATGCTATTGTCCAATGATTTCTGCATTTAGTTGGGTCGCCTCTCTTTGGGATTGGCACAAACATGGATATTTTCCAGTCAATTGGTCAGGTAGTTGTCTTCCAAATCTCTTGGCATAGATAAGTGAGTGCCTCCAGTGCTGCATGAGTTTGTTGACATTTTTCGGCTTGTACTGCATCAATTCCCGGTGCCGTGTTCTTTGCCAATGCTTCAGTGCACCTTGGATTTCTTCCTTCAGTATAACTTGCTCTTGGTCATATGCTACCTCTTGAAATGGCTGAACATTGACCATTTCTTTTTGGTACACTGACTCTGTGTATTCCTTCAACCTTATTTTGATGCTTTCTGTATCATTTGTATTTTTTCCATCTATGTTGATGTTTTCTGCATCACTCAATATTCTACCCATGCTGTTGTTGTTGTTAAGTGTCATCGAGTTGGTTCCAACCCATAGCAACCCTCTATAAGATCTCCAAGGATTGCTTGAACTGCCGACCTTGTGAATCAAACTGATGTTGCAGTCCAGTACATTAACCAACACTGCCACGTGGTTGTTGTTAAGAGCTGTTGAGTCAGTTCCGGCCCATAGCGACCCTGTATAGGGTTTCCAAGGAGCAGCTGGTAAGCCTGAACCGCCAACCTTGCAGTTCAAATGGCTTTGCAGTCTGGCAAATTAACCCCCAGCGTCACACCAGGACTCCTAATTACAAGTCAAGGCTTGAGCTTTTTCTTCAATTCCCTCAGCTTGAGAAATGCTGAGTGTGTATTTCCCTTTTGGTTTTCTAACTTCAGGTTTTTGAACATTTTGTTATAATATTTGACTTGGTCTTCTTGACCTGACTTCTGAAACTTTCTGTTTAGGTCTTTTACCTCACTTCCTCCATTTGCTTTAGTATCTTTATGCTGGAAAGCAACTTTCAGAGTCTCTTCTGGCATCCATTTTGGTCTTTTCCTTCTTTCTT